TGGTATCCAATATATTCAACAGATGGCTCAACGTCCATTCCAACCTGTCCCTACCGATTTCCAGATGGCGGGGGGAGTATCAAGTTCCTAGAAGGAGAGAATGTCTCTCGCCAGTGGGCCGAGAGATATGGCCCGGTTTATCGCATCTGGGTTGGACTCACGCCAGAAATGTAAGTTCGCTCTCTTCAAGATGAACTGCTCAGGCTAAACGAAGTCTAGCATTTTGACCCGCGCGGATGAGATCAAGACGGTCTTTAAAGACTCTGGTAACCACCACAAGGCTTCAAACCTGAATGGTGGATGGGTAATGGGAGATCTAGTCGGCGATGGTGTCGGTCTGATCAGTCAAGGACACTGGAAACGAGTCCATGCTGTAGTTTCACCACCCTTTACCCAGAAGCCCACAACATACGTTCCATTTGTCCAATCCCGTATTTCTCGCCATTTTTCCGAGTTATACAAGCAGTATGAAGGCGGGAAAACGCTGCGAATCAAGCCCGCCCAGGATCTCAAGCTTCTGCCCTTCTGGGTCATTAGCGACCTCTTATATGGAAACTTGTCCCCGGAGATGACAGAGGAGCTGTTGCACATTACCGATTTGCGCACCGATGTGTTTCAATATGCCTTCAAAGGTGGTCTGTCACTCTTTTCCATCAGCAAGATATTTTACCCGGCTATAAGGAACAAGCTTCACGTCTTCCACACTCGCTGGGCTAACTTCAATCGGAAGGCGTATCAATATGCAATGAACCGTGACGATGCCTCTGCTTGTGCTATTGTTGGCTTGTATAGGGCCGTGGAACAAGGTCAGATTACGCCAACCGAGCTGATGCATACATTGGACGAAGCACTATTTGCCAACATCGATGTGACGATTGGCAGCTTCTCTTGGATCCCACAATTCCTGGCCGAGGACCCCGGGTTACAGACCGAGCTTAGAGCAGAGATCTCACAGACCAGATCCGGCACAACTCCAGAGTCTTGGGTCAAATACATTGCAAGCAATACGACTCTGCTGGCAAGTTGTATCAATGAATCTGCGAGGCTGAAGCCAGTCACCAACTACACCTATGCGCAATCGATGCCCACTGACCGGGATGTGGGTGGATACCGCATTCCTCGTGGGACCTTCATGGTGGTTGACACCAATGCGCTGAATATCTGGGATGACGCGTGGGGCTCCGATAAAATGACCTTCCGGCCCCGGCGGTTCCTGGAGGAATCTAGGGCCAGCTTTCGGTATCGCTTTTGGCGTTTTGGCTTCGGGCCCCGCCAGTGTATTGCGCAAGCCTTGGCAGATACGATCCTCAAGGTGTTGGTTGCGTACACCGTCGAAAATTATGAGTTAAAGTCAGCTGGAAAGTCAGCTGTGAATGAGGAGGACGCCCGGAAACGAGGCGAAGCGTGGTTCAAGGTTGCCGAGCAGGAGATTATCCTGGAAGCGATATAGTATACGTGCTTTTTTCTACTTGAATAAGCCAGATTGAGATTATATTGATCGTTTAAACTCGTTTTATTGAAGCTTCTGCATCCCTACTGGGACTATTGTTCGCTGATCATATCCGTTTTCAGACAACGGGGTATCCACCTGGCTTTTGACAAGTCAGATTTCACAACACCAGTTGAATGCTCAGGTATCTTGTACGAAGTAAGGTTTGACTCTCTCAAAATTTCGGCACGCTACCATCTAGCAGCCGTGACCAGGCCGTACTTGATCCATGAGACTTTCATGCAGCCACACATAATCGTCGCGTGATCTCGAGGTAGGCCTTCTCTCGGTCCCACTCGCAACCCGGATCGACGGAGATCGATAGGCAATCGATAGTCTATGGAATGCACTGCCAGGAGGCAAACACCAAATATAGGTAGCATCTGATTCTCAGCGGTCATTTTTTTATTGCATCCAGAAGGGCCGTGGCCGTGGCAAATCCCCCTTGCATCCTGCCCGATCCGTGACTGCCCGTGGTGCTCTCGGTCTGTCTCGGGCTGTCCACGTGTCTGACTACGTTGGAACTAGTATAGAATCTCACATTCTTACCCCCAATGACATTGTATATTGCATGTCACTATCCTGCAAGTCCCTAGTCCCGAGCCACTCTTGGCTTTGAGCGTTTTTTCTAAATAGGCTTAGTAGTTGAATCACAGCTGAAAACTGCCATGCGTTACAGCATTTTTAATACCCCCTTGCTTGTGAGTCAGTTGTACATTACAGCCTGCAGGTGACAGTTTGTAGGGAGTATTCGAATACCTCATTATGCAGCGGTGTAGGTGTGCCATGTGCTAGATTCACTAATTCCTGGAACGAACAGGCATCGACACACCACACGGTGTGATCGGAACATAATGGTTGATGCATAAGCACAATATCTTTCCGACAAGTGCAGGTACAGAAATGCAGGGTACGCTTTTCATCGAGCCCACAACTGCCAGGTAGTATTTAGTATGTTCTAAATTACACACAACAGACATCCTTCACGCATTTATTCCACCCCAACTCAATCTAAGCCGCGCTATTTCGTCTGCTTCAAACGTACCTTGACTATCAACATGAAAATCTACTAGTGATAGTACATAGTCAGGTACGGTCCTTTCTTCTTAGTGTATGAAAAGGACAGCCAAGCCTGATGATCCGTTGCGACTGCCAAGTCCTTGCTGGGGCTGATAAAACACGAGGTTAGCAAGAAACATTGGGATGTGTGGCAGCAGAATAAACTTACTAGTATGTCTGCAAATTATCGCGATAGACTGCGGCCTGCTCAGGCATATCGTAGCGTTCGAAGAATGCAGTGAGCACGTTGGCAATTTTCATCTCGGAAATGCCGACCAAGGGGAAGTAGAATTTGGGTTTGGGCAATACCTCGCCGGGATTCATCTCGTAGTTCATGATGAATGGAACAATAGTGTCGGGATCCCCGGGCAGCGATGGCCGCTCCGGCTCATTGCGCATGCCCTCAATAATCCCAAATTCTATCCACAACTCTCGCAGCATTTGCAGCCCAAGTAAAGTCTCTTCGTCGTTGAGCTTGCCGCCAATTGTCCAGTGCTCCTCAACCTTTGCCAGCCTCATGTCTAGCTCCATGAGGTAAAGCTTGATCCTAGTTTGCGCTGGATCGACTAGATCACAGGACAAAAAGTAGAGATCTGTCTGGGTTTGAGATTGCATATAGGTCTCAATTACCTTACTCGGAGATTCAAAAACTCCTTGCTTGTCCACTTTCCGAATAGCAGAAAAGCACAACTGGGCCACGCTTTGCCCGGTCACGGAGGCTTTGAGTGCCGGGTAGAAATACTCCTTGACCGTGATGCCGCCGGACTGTCCCAAATCTAAAGCAAGCAGAATTTGCGTCTTCCACGCAGTTCCCGAGATCTGTTCCGGGGACATAAGCCTTTCCTCGCGGTCCGTCAAAGTCAGCTCGGTGACGAGCATTTGATGCAGCTCCATGTCAATGGTGGCAGACCCGATAGCCCTCAATTCGGCCAGGGTAGCATGCACCGTGTGCCGGTTAAGCGGGTCGACTCCGGTGCTAGCAATGTAGCCTGTGGGCTCGAAAGCAATGCGTGCAGTCAGGCCTGATTTCTGGACATTTTGACTGAGCTCCACGGAGCCGGTGCCTCCGAGCAGACATTTGTATATGTCTCTCCCGCCTGGGAATGGTCCCAGCTTTGGGATTATGATATGTGCGAAGAGACACAGATATTCATACTGCTGATGGATGCTGTAGTTGCCGTTGGAAAGCATCCTCCCCAGCATAGGACCGACGGCATGCCAATATTGGTATTGGTCTAGATTGGCAAAGGTCATCGACTTGCTGAGTGTACGATGAGGCATATCTGCCGTTTGTGCGACCGCTGGCACAGAGGCCTTGAGAGGCTGAACAGTGGAAGAGACTGTCATTGTGGTATACTGATACGAGTGTTTGTCCAGAAAGGAAGTGGCTTAGAGATGTGGTGTTGTCTAAAGATCATCCAAATGAAAGTGTGGGCCCTATATTCTACGACAATGGCAATAGCTCATGCTTCCATTTTCCTCCCGGACTATGTAGAGGACGTGTCTCATGCAGTGGCGGTAAAAATCCCGCTTGGTATGTGTTACAGCTGAATAATTTCCATTGCCTCGTGCTACGTACGGAGTACGACGTTGGTATGCACCGATCAGATGGGTCACATTATGCAAGGGACTTCTTCGTGTACTATTTCCACATGATTTGGGAAAATGCCAATGCAGGTTGCCCTTTTACTCTTTAAGGAAGCTGAGTCAAAACCCAAGTTATGCCAAGTAGGATCCATGCGCCCTCAAGGTTTTGTGGTGAGAAAAGAGAAGAGAAGAGGAGGAAAAAGGCAACTTGCCTCGCTGACACTTCAATCCAGCCCGCCCCAGCGATGGCCTGGTTGCTTAGCTCTAACAAGATACCTAGAGGCGGAGACGAGGTGTCGATGGGACCCGGAGATGACGTCATGCCATCGTTTAGCTCTGCTATATACACCTAAATCCCCCAAACACATCCAGACTCAAATTGCAGTGTCATCGTTGGGTATAGTGTTCCTCGGCTTATTGGCGGACTTTCGTTCCAACGCGATCGTTCCAACGAAGGAAAGCGATGCTAAACCCACACCCACATAAAAGGCTCGGCTGTTGCATTCCAAGAACGGCACCGATTCTAACTAGAATCTGGTAGCCAATCCATTCGCCACTCCCCGAGTCTGTCTTCAAGGTACTGAGTAGGCTGGCCCCAAATCGCTAATGTGACCGAAGACGGTTTGTGATTGGATTGTAGTCGGGCATGATAACGAGGAAACCGGATAGAATAGACACGGCAACGACTGCAACGATACTCGGCAGGTTCATTAAACATGATTTAGTAGCCGAGGCCGTTTTGATTGCCTGTAACCAAAAAGGGAGCTAGGAATTGAGCTTTGGCGAACACCGAGCCGCCATGGACTGAGCCTAGGTAGTAAATAAAGACAAATTAAGCACCATTAAGCGTGATAGCAAACCAGGTTCACGACAAGATGTGTCGATTTCGGACGATACGCGGAGGAGGTGTGGCCTTCTCATTCTGGCAGATCTGAACAGCCACAAAGGTGCGCAGGAGAACACCAATGAGTACGAAAAGAACGATGATCCAAGGGTTATTCCAAGAGTATTCAGTGCCACTCCACTGGAGGGCCAGAAGAAGGCCGATGGTAGGTAGGAAAAGCCGATCGGATCGGATCTAGCTCGTTGAGCTGTTTGCGTAGTTATGAGCGTCTTTTGACTGATTCAGGGGCAATAGCTGTGACGACCGACAACGATATACTCAATTTGTGTAGTAGAATGCGTAAAATTTGCCAAAGGCGAGGGTCGTGGCACAGTTCATAAGGAGATAGGAACTGTCGAGTGAATCAAACTGATCGGTGTAGGAATTGCGGCGTCCTGCACAAAATATCAAGATGTCACCTGACTCAGACGCTTCGAGATTACTAAATTATTGGCTACGTCTAGGAAATGGTACTTTGTGATCAAGATAGTCATCAAAATAATCATTTTATCGTTGCTAAGGTCATAGGCAGACTCGGAGTACATCGTAAAGCATAAGACATAACACAGAGAGTAACTCATCAATTAGACAGGATAAAGAAAGTCAACCCGAGTGGTCGCGATAATAAGCAAAACAGATACATAATTCAAGCGATATACCAAAACACCCGATAGACTGAACACCAGTGTCCAAAAATCGACAAACACCATGCTCCGGAAAGACAAACGCCAAAGAATAAGCAAATAGGTATTGGGGCCAAACCCAGGCCAAAGAACAGCGCCATGAGATGCAGATGCAGATGCAGACGCAAGGAATGACGAGAAGTTAGATTAAAGAGCAGACTTGGTGCTATCAGTTGAGTCCTTAAGACTTCGGTGCTCGGTTTCGGCAGCGACAACGTCCAAAACAGAAGCAATAGAGGTAGTGATAACGGTCTTTTGGCTCCGGGAAAGAGGCAACGAGGGCTTCTTGAACTCAGGCGCGTGCTCTTCATCATCATAGACAATCGTATAAGACAAAGCATTGCAGCCCTCGGCATAGTATTCGGCAGCATCAAGCTCACCGAGCGCAGCACGCGGTTCATCTATCTTCGACTTGCGAGCGACGGCAGGAATAGTGGCAGTGGACTGACGAGCGACAGGGACTTCAATACCGAGCTCGTGAGGAGGAATATTCTCTTTTCCACGGGGGCAAGTGTCGGACTTGCCCTCGTCGTCGCTGATATCAAGGACAGTGGTCGAGTGATGCATCAGGTTGGTCATTTCTTCCTGCTCGGTGTCGACGTGGATATCGAAGCACCACGAGGCCGGGGCCTTGGGGGCAGGCGCAGGCCTGGAAGTTTTGGATTGAGCGAGGACAGAAGCAAGAGAGAAGGGACGAGCCACGCCGCGCTTGCTATATTGCTCTGAGCGGGGTTTGGCGATGAGCGAACGGCGAGTGGCGGACTTGCTCGACTTGGGTGGTGGAGAGCGACCAGCCGGCTTGAGAATAGGAGCTGATTTGGGAGTTGTAATAGAGATCTTCGAGGGGGTTGAGAGACGGGGGGAGATGTTTATGCGGGTGGAAAGAGCCATGCGGGATGTTTTGATGGGCTTGGACGCGCTGTTCTCCTCGTCGTCCTCAGAAGTACGCTTCCGTTTGGCGGAGAAGCTTGCTGGATTGATATTCTCGGAATCGGCGTCGATGAAGATCGAGCCCTTCATTGGGGTTGACTTCATAGACATGACACCTGGTTGGGATTGTGAGCTAAGCCGTCTTCGGAACATCAAAACATGGGTCGTCACGTACCATTTTGCTGGTTCTGACGATTCAGTTTCGATCGCATCAACGGCATCGTGTCCAAACAGCCCAAAGGCTGACGAGTAGGAGTCATAGTGAGAGTGGCCATGGTGAAGGAAGAAGGGGGATGTTTTGTTTTGGTCAGCGCCAAGTGGGGGAGGATTGGCGGTCTAAAATAGGCACTAGGCAGGCCGATCGCACGATCCGAAGAGAAAGAGGGCAATTGGGTAAGACAAGAGATTTAAAAGAAATAGAATGATTCAATGATCGGAATTGGTCGGATATAGGTCGGATAATGAGGAAATGGGTAGGATAAGGTCGACTACACCGTTGAGAGAGAGAGAACGAGGGATGATTCGGGGTAAAAGACGTGCAGCGATGAGATAGATATAATAGTTTCAGACGTTAAGGGCGTTAAGAGCTTGAAATCAGAGGGTTAGAGGCAAGGAGCAATAATAAAGAACATGAGGAGTCACAAATGGAGGGCGAAGGGAACTATTTCAAGGCCTGCATACGCCGGCAAAGCGCGTCGCGTTCACGTTGTGGAGGCTGCCAATTCGAAAAAGTGGCGTTTATGCCAATTCCCAGCTCCCAGCACAATCCAATTGACTTCATTCTTGGATGTCTTGTCTCGTGTCTCGTGTGGGAACAATGGTACTATGCAGATCACTACGCGCTGTTCGTATGATCTATCTAGTATTCATATCACCGTGCCATTGTCAATGAATTCCTCATTCCCCTATAATTGCCTGTACAAGTCCTCCGTAAATCATTACCGAAATCATCGGAGCAAAGACCAAAAGGTCAATTCCCCCCCGCTGAGCACTGCATAGTCGCGTATCCCTTGGACGCGTCGGTCATGCGGCCGAAGTACCCGGTACTCGGTCATCCCGGCACTAGCGCATACATCGCGTAAGTACCAAATACCTTCACGTCCCTCACGTTCTCCACGTCTTGCACGTTCATTCGCGCGCGACTTCGCGTTCAAGTCTCTTCCTTGCGTATTGTCCGCTCATTCGTGATAACTAGAGTCTACAATTCCGCTAATAGTAAGTTGCATGAAATGTCTAATGAAACTGCCAACGCATCCTGTTTCCATTGGTTATCTATCTCCCATTCGGACTCAGATTACCGGATGAAATCATGCATGCATAGGCCGATCGGGGGCTGCCGGATGTTGGAGGTGAACTTCCACGGTGTGAAACATTTTACGGAGTTCCGTCTCAGAGTGAGGGTTGGAGGTGTCTGGGTGTGCACTCAAGGCTGGGGAATGTTCTCTGGACTGGCTATCCAGGTGGTTCAAAGTAGGAATTTGCCCTTGAAGGCTGTCCAAGGCGTAGAATGATGGAGGGTTATTATTAAGAGGGATATTACATAGACAGGGACAGGGTTGTCAAGGTCTGATGGCACATGCGCCCCCTGTCTCTCATGGGCTCGGATTATTTCCTCGGCGTACTGATCCTTGTTGCATTACTCGTTGCATTACTCGCGAAAACCAAGAGCCTATTCTTTGTTCGATCGACGTACAATGGCGTCGGCATTCTACTACAGGCAGTAAATGCCGACCGGAATAGTCTATATACATAGTCTGTAGTCTCTCGTGATATATTAATGCACATTACCACAGACTTGCCGTACCAATTAGCTTAGACCTCATCCTCAAAAGGAATGCTATCCATGGCACCCTGACGTTCCACAGCCCGAGCCGAGGCGCGCGCAGCCATATGCATCGCTTCGTCCATGACAGTCTTGTACCGGTATGCCTTCTCGTCATCGGTAAGATCCTGCCCAGCCTTGCCATCCGCGCGACGCTGCTCACGCCACCGCGCCACCCTGACCGCGTAGGCCCCAACAAATGTATCACCCGCTCCAGTAGTATTCAAGACATGAGAGACAGGGGCGGCTGGAATATCATTAGTGAAGCGTTTCACTCCATCACTAAGTCCAGAGGAGCCGGCATCAGCCGAACTGTACCAAAGGCCCTTCTCGCCGAACGTGATAAGTATGTAAGTGACACCCAATTTGTGGAAATATCGAGCGACCTTCTCCTTGCCATCCAAGCCATCTGCGTCTGGAACCGTGCGAAGCAGTTGTTCCGCAGGGGGAGTCATCAGCTCAGCCTCCGTCTCGTTCAGGATCAAATGGTCGACAGCAGCATATACATCCTCCGGCAAGCCACCAGGCGGCGCAGGTGCCGGGTTAAGCATAACATCCGGACCGGACTCAATGCCGCGTTTCCCAGCAGCGCGAGCCTTGGCCTTGTAAGCTGCGATCTCGCGTAGTATCCCAATAACCGTTTCGACCGGGATCTCGCCCTGCATAACGATAACATCGGGTACGGGCGCCGCTAGCGCCATGCCCAGCACTTCCGGGGTAGGCTGCATGCCATCGTAATTTGCACCAGGCGAGAAGAGAATGCGGTTCTCTCCGCCAGCTGACGAGTCCACAATGATCACCGCCACACCCGTGTATGCGTTCTCGATGACTTTCACTCGGGACGGGTCGACTCCGGATCTCTCGAGAGTCGGCTTGAGCAGGGCGGAGAAGTGGGCATCCAGCGCGCCGACTGCACCAATCATTTCAACTTTGACATCGCTGGTGGAGTTGGCGGTGCCTGTTGGCTTAGCTCTGGACATGCGCCCGCATGCCACTGCTTGGTTTGCACCCTTGCCGCCCGCGCTGGTGAAGTAGGATGAGGAAGTGATTGTCTCGCCTGGGTTTGGGAACCGGGGTGTGACAGAGACCATATCCACATTGAGTGATCCAATGACTCGGATCAGGGGTGCCATGGCGGAGAAGGGGTTCTTGGATTGTATGTCGGAGGCTGGTTGTGTCTTTGGGTTGGGCTGGGAAGATGCGAAAAGCGGTGGACGGGAGTAACTGAGGGTGATGGAAATTTTGTAGATGTCAGGATTTCAGATGCGCAACGCAGGCGAGGAGCGACAATTGAGAACTTTTCGGTCAGGTAATTGAGAGAGACAAGGCCTGGAGTGGAAAAAGAATTGGAGTGACGTCCGAGCGGGGCACATCGGATGTGGAATATGTGGGGCCGACAGGCACAGTCCCGTGGATCCGATCTACGATGTATACCCACGTCTATCTTGACAACATACAAATCTAAATGAAGAATTGTCTCCTACTATTCAACATATTAATTGCCCAGTTCCAAATAATTGGTGATGACTTATTACTTGTATTGCGAGTAAAAAGCGAAGAAGAGGGAGGGACTCGACGAGGAATAAACGGGACGGGCTGCGTAGGCATACCCGTCACAGATTCTATGGTCGGCCAAGACAAGAGGTCTCCGTTCTCATGCGAAGCTCGTACATGGCTTTTTTTGCTATTTTATCGGCCGCTTCATTGCCTGGCACACCAGAATGGCCTGGGTTCAAGTGCAGCTCGATAGAGACACCCAGCCTATGCAATTTCTCCGAGTGCCGAGCAATTGTCTCCAATTGAATTGCCACATCGCTTTCCGGTTCATATGCAAGATCACCTCGAATGCGATTAAGCGCATCAGCGTTATCAGAAAAGACAAACACCTCCTTCGTCATTGTGTGTGGCTGGGAACTAGTACGTGGGAGACCTTGCGTGACATTCGCTCATAGCCTGTTGAAGGACGATTTCGTTTATGACTAGGAGCATAGATGAGCTAGGCTGGAAAAAACGGGCTCGACCAAAAGATGCAGTATTGGTATGGACGTAGAGATGTAATCAAGTTGGATGATGGTACCTGCGGTGAGACACTTTGTATATTGAGTGGCGCTGGCATGGTTGCCGACCGAGCATCATCCACCAGGCCATTCCCTGGAACATTGGCATGTTCCTTGTCGATCGCTTCAATAGCTGTCTGTGAGGCACAGGAAATAGCGAAAATTTAACCGTTCCACGATTAAGAAGTTCCTTGTTTAACCCATTTTGTGGTGGTGCTTGAAATATCCCTTATTCTCTTGCATACCACGGTCGCTGCCCCACACTTTGTTCATATCGAGCCACCAATTCAAGGTAAAAGCCGTGTGCAAACATTTGCGGGCACTGGAAATCTGTAGATGTTGCATGCCATATTCATTGGATCTCGGTAGATGAATCCCATGAACTTCACTGGGGAGTTCCACGGTGGATCTGACCAACTTCGTTGTTACCGGCGAATCAATTTGTTTAAATTTTCAACCGTCGTTGTATGTTGGAACTCTGGAAATTCTCGTCGAGGGTGCATCAATTTCGGACGGGGCTTTGAGTGACTGCTGCCACTTATTGGTTAACCTTCAGTGTCTGCCTCAAAGGGATCATTCAAATATGTACTTACTGTGAGGCGCCAAATCGATCTTAAACAAGAAAGAGTACATTACCTCAATAACGAAGATGAAGAAAGAGAGAAGAAGCAAGTGCAAAGTGGGAAGCAGCCGGTTTTACATAGCTGACCCTTTGCAAACGTTGCAAACGTCGAACCTCCCCGCCTAGCTATCTAGCAAACAACCTATAGCACATGAGAGCGATCTATCGTAGCATCAAGGTATCCGACTGATATGGGAGACTTTTTGAACAGCTGCCTTGAGAGTGGTACTAATCAAACATTTCAATGGTGGTGGGTGCCGCTGTCCATCCTCACCGGACAGTAGATACCTTTCCTGAATTGTAAGAGTGAAGCTTTCTGGATGGACAACCCTGATGATAGACGCATCGCAAACGTACGTAGAGACAAGTCGCTGGCATACAGCTTTTGAAATAGCGAAGTCGAGGGCCTTGGTTGCAATATCCCAAGCCTTCTGATGGTAGACATGGGAAGCAACAGAGAGGAAGGTGAGAGTGTGACTGCATTATATGGTGCACTCGGCCTGTGTCAAGCCTTTGTCAACTGTACTATCGCCAATAAGTGCTAGTCTTCTCAAGTTGACTCTCAACTGTGACTCACTGGATACTCGCATGTCGTTCAAATATTGAGGAGAAATAACATAAGCATAAAAATAGTCAAGAACTAAAAAAAGACTGGAAGTGGAAACCCCCGTGGTTTGAGTCCTCCTAGGTTCGAACCAAGGTAGTTCCCCCACCTGCCTATTTCCCTATAATGACTGAATAGGTAATTCTTCAATATTTTATCTTAAGCTTGATCCTCAAAGCATATGCCGTTGAGCTATACTCTAATTAAACAAAAGTAAGATTAAATTAAGATACTGGTGGAATATTATAAGATAGATGTAAGAAGTGAAAAAAAAAATGAATCCCCCCTAGACAAGTCCACTACTCCTGGGATCAAACCAAGGCAGTTAACCCACCCAACTGACCTCCCAATCACGACATGATCAACCATAGCTCGTAGCAGCTAATTCCAAGGAATTAACCACTAACCTATAAGGGGTCTTCATTAGAAAATACCACGTTTCAGCTAAACTTAACAAACGCCCGGCTAAGGTCCCCAAAATTAGTTGTATAATTTCGATTTCCTAATTCCCATTTTTACAGGAATGGGATAACTTCGAAACGGATGTTGTAGCCACATATTCCACTCAACAATGGAGTTCTGCAGCTATGGGCTACACCCGGAAGGGTATCACAGATCCCGTCCCAGAAATTGTACTCACTGGAAATGAAGATGGAGTTCGAGGCCGGTTTTTCCAATCAGTTGGACATGCCGTTGGAGCAGTGCTTCAGGCCCAAGGCATTGAAATGACTTTCGCCGATTTTCAATGTGCTAGAATTATGTACAGCCATACCCCTGATGTCATTGCCTTGGACAATCAGACAGCTGTGAGGATGGTGGGGCAGCTAAAGGTACCATGGGTACCTACTCATGACTTCAGGCCCTACCTCTCCGACGCCACCGGCAACAGCCTAAGGTGTTTACTGGCACAACCTTTGATGTACATGCACGACCTCAGTTGTAACTACGGCTTTATGGCCAATTACTGGCAGACAATCTTTTTGCGTCAACGACTGGTCGATGGTGTATGGATGCCTGAATATTCGCAAATCAAGGAGGCCAAAATAGAATTCAACCCAGGCACCAGTGCTAGTGTCAAACAATATTTTTTTTCACATGGCATGTTGTGCGTCTGAGTCAGGACCTGATGAGCCTATCAACGACACCCCTGATGATAACTGGGTTGTGACTATTTAGGAAATCGTATTGCTACTAGTAGTCGGCAGAAAGGAAGTCAATAGAAATATGTTTTCTTTGTTTATGAACACATCAGTTAGATTGATGGCTCAGTAGTCACAGCAATGAAACATCCTCTTCTACCAGACCCAGTCGGGACCGCCCTGGTAACTTTTCAGATTGGGAGCATTTAACAGATGAAACTGGTCATATAATATGTCATCCCATTGCAGCGGATCTCCCTTCTCTGTGGCCATTACAAGACCTCCAAGGTGCCGAAATAGAATCAGGTTAGAATGTGTTGCTAAGTATAAATCATATAACATAGAAAAATATGAAAAGGTAAAAATACATGGTACCAGTCTCAAAGTCGTAGATGATTTTCGATGGCACTGGGGGGAAAATCTGAATGCCAAGCGCTAAAACCTCACTTCCGTCATGGGTTAGCTAAATGTTTCATCAATGTGGAAGCATGGATATTTACCTGTAGAGCGCCTTGAATTTCAAACGAATATCAGCACGCGACTTATCTGAGAGCCCCCAGAACCAGTTGATGTCGAAGCTCTCCCCGGGCACCTTCTCCCACACAAGGTAATTGATATATCCCCCTGGCACAGCACCGGTGTCACTTTGTTTATCTTGGTGCACGGCGAGGAGTTTCGGTGCTACGGTAGAGCCCATAAGCTGAAGTTTTTTGAGTGACTCAATCCCTAAATGCGTAGGTGATGCAATCGCCTGTTCTGCGCGGCGATGAGGGGTTCGGAACTCCGTTTTTAAGTTTGGGACTTGAAGGTAGATACGCATGACGCCTTTCTTGAGGTCATTCTCGCGGTGGCATTCGAACTCTATCGTGGCTCTCGATGGCCCGAGTTTGCGGGCCACATCCACTTCGTCAACACGGTGAAAACGCTCTGATATTTGTTCTCCGATGACCCATGTTTGGGTCCAAGGGGTGTTTTGATTCGCCGGAAAGGTGACCACAGTGCCAGAGAAGTCGTCGAAAAACCCAATGTCCTCCATATTAAGTGCCTAGGTCGAAAGTGATGGAGAAGGGAGGCGAAACATACAATAGATATTGATTTTGCGACGGATGATGGATGATGGATGATGGATGAAGGATGAAGGGTGAAAGATATGATGTAATTAAGACGGTATTCCAAGCGGTTCCTTCGAAGGTTTACTTCCGTACCGTGGACCCACAAATGCGGGACGCACGTGGATCTGCACTCTACCGACATACTTTATGGACCTTATTTTGACACTTACCCTTGCAATAGCTTTATTTGATTACAGTTAAACCTTAATTCTCACTCTTATTTCAAAAGTTTTTATGGAAGTTGGTAGGAGTAAAGACTCCACAAGATTAGTTAGGTGTTTGTTAAGTTTAACCAAAAGGTAATATTTTCCAATGAAGACCCCTTATAGGTTAGTGGTTAATTCCTTGGAATTAGCTGCTACGATAAATGGTTGATCATGTCGTGATTGGGAGGTCAGTTGGATGGGTTAAATGCCTTGGTTCGATCCCAGGAGTAGTGAAGTTGTCTAGGGGGATTCATTTTTTTTTTCTTTTGGCTTCTTATAGCTTATTTTATCAACTCCACAACAACGCCCTATATGGCTAGCAGAGAGACCCCATTTTCTCTCCGAGTTTATGAATCTCCTTCATTCACTATCTCTTATTGGCGGATGGCAATGCTTATACGTTAGCGAGTGGTTTCCCATTTGTCTGCATCACGGGAAACAGCCTCTTCCGCTTTCCGGTGATTGGATTCAGCATTCCAATTGTCAACTTACGGTTAGATTTCAACGAATTATTTCAACATTTATTCGAAAGCCGTATTTCTATTGACTCGGTGGTGAGCATTGTATGGTGGAGGTAGTCCACCCCACATCCGAGCTAGCTCGGCATTTTACATGCAACGGCCTTACGCACCGATGAACGCAACTAGCCAAGATTTCTTCGTATATTTCCGGGGATGCTCTTATTGTGGAGTACAATTTCGTGCACGGCACCGGGTTGGTTCTTGGTATTTAGAATGGATAGACTTCATCGCAGTTTCCCAACGCGAATGACCTGGCCAACACCCAGGATCCAGCCAATTCTGCCCTCATGTTCAGCCTCAAAAAGCGTCACTCCCATTGTTAGCCTCTGGAAGTGATCCCGTCCCGGGACGACGGTGTATTTGCCTCTCCGATGACTTTCATGCCAGCACTAGCGTCCATAACTGCTAGGTCCTTCGTGTACGTAGGCCCTTCATAATCAATATTATGGCAATCCTAGCATGGCCGCAATAGTCTGCAAATCACTTTTCTGCATCTTGCCGTAGTCAACTTAGCGAATCTGACACGCCTGTCTCGACAATAATAATAATATTGCCAACTGTAGTCGACAAGGTTTATCTTATTGCTGTGCTTGAACTTGGCCGCCAAGTCTTTTCTCTTCATCTCGGTCTGAGCAGCTTCTGTGTAGGAGTCTAGAGAAGGGAGACCAAAATGTTAGAACGAGGTTCAATAAGCTCATCTGGACACGGTTATGTGGTTGTGGGTGGCCTTTGGGAACCTAAAGGATTTCAAACGTCTTCCGGAAGCCCATAGACAGTACAGCCATCCTCGCTGAGCCTTTTAATGGGTTAGCTTGCTACTACACCATAACAATTATACCATCAGGTACTTACCTATATGGCTGCGGACATGGCAGGCCGACTGGGGTATAGTCCTAGCCTTTTGGCTTTCACAACCACATTGAGAGGGGATGTCGGCTTGGTTCGAACATCCTGGTAATTTCTATATCTTCGCCTTCCAAATCACAGAGCTGGTCCCCTGTCTGTTGACCTTGTATACGGATGGGCTGGCTGAATTGAGGAGGGCGAGATAGCGTTACGATTCCAGGGGAGGCAAGACGAGGCTTCGATAATCCAGGGAATAATTGTCTCACTCGATGGGTTATGGACGATGGTGCGATAAAGAAGAGTGCAATGTCTGACGGTTTGCAGGCAATATAACTGGAAGAGAATCATATCAAAAGTCAGAGATGGGTTGGTCAGGAGCTGAAGTTAGAATCGCAAGTCAATCATCAAGCAGGGGACAAACGTTGAAAATGGCATTTTCATCAGATACATAATGGGAGAGGAAGATGAGCAGTCAGTATGAGGCAGTGAAGGAAGGTGGGCAAAAGGGAAGGAGCGAGTGAATTGCTATATGGAGGAAAATATCTGGAATAAAGAAAGAAACTTAGAAGCATAACAATTTCCTTTTAATAGATATTGGACAAGCCATGTAAAAGCCATCCGAAACGACTCAAAAGACATTGATCGGCTTTAACTAACCACATAAGTAAATGAACCAGATTATTAGACTAAATCGTTGATATATATGACAGATTGTACGCGAAGAGACATAATGGAATAAAGCAAAGAATTTAACATAAATCATGATGCCAGCAACAACAGTAGGAAGTTATTAGAGATCTGCCATGTGTATTGTATCTAATTGTACCAGACAATAGCAATAATGACGAGGCTAGTCCCTAGAGCTCAGAGCTGTCTAAGCCCACTAGTTGAAGACCAAGCGTCCATTATCATTCCCAATGCGCTCGGACAGGTTGATATCCGCATCGTGTCCCTCGCCATCGACGTCGCGCAAGACAGCCCGGAGGACAGGGACGCCATATTCTCCTTCGCGGTCGAATCTGACATTTTCGGCACTGGCGTGGAAGTCACCGCCATCCCAGTGGAAGTGTCCTAAATAAACGAGTCAGACTAACTGATGCTATGGTCGTGTAGAGGGGCACTGCAAGACAAAGACAGATCAACATACCATTGTCGTTTCCAATGTGGTGATCGAGATCAATAGTGGACTCCTCCTCATCACCATTCTCAGTGCGAAGAAGAGCCCTGAGGATGTGGCCATCCACAAGCTCGATGTGGGAAGCAGATTCGTGGAAGCTCATAGTGTCGATTTGGGAGAGAATAATGTAGAGTAGAGTGTAAGAGACTATGTATCATAAACTTCTGGATGGCAGAAGTGGTCAGGGAAGGGGACTGTCCTTATATACCCCATACGGCGAGGCCAATACACCCCGAATTGCGATACGGGCTTACACAAGGAATCATGCAGCAGCCCCCAGTTCCTGTCCGACACTTGTCCTGGACTCATTCGTCGCACTGCCTCAATTGCGCCATGGCAGCTGGCCCGAGTGGGGCATTCATTGGGACGACCGGCATTGGCAAAGCGGGGAGATTCTACTCCGTATACGGAGTAAGCGGGGAGGCTTTTTAGGACAAAGAAACCTAGCGAGTTAGTGTTTCCAGGGTGGACAGCTGTGGATAGGACAGAACGGGACCATCTACACCGCCCGTCCACGTCAGTGGGTGGATCAGCACTGTAAACATTCCAAGCTGTCATCTTGGCGGGGTCTCCGGTTCAAAAGAGGACAGAGCAAATCAGCTTGATGTGCAGTTATCGTGGCGCATGGCGACACCTCCGACGGTCCCCAGCCACAGGATTCGAGCGACATGTCCTGATGTTGCACTGTGCATGCGCGCCAAGGATGCAAGATCCCGTGACAGCCTTAATGACAGCCACAGTACGTGGGCCACACATGGCCAATGAAGGTCGAATAGACCGAGGAGAAACGCTGGTGCCTAATAGGGACAATGTGGAGCTGAACAGAGCCAAGTCAATTTGGGGATGCAGCCTCATGTTGTCAGTTCTTGGCAGTCGACATTGCGAAGGGGTTATTCACAAGTGGCGTATAGGGGACCTGTGGCTGGATAAGGCTAGCCCTGTGACTTGGGAGGGTTTGGAGGGTTTGGAGGGGCTGAGGTGGATCATGTCAAGATTGACAACGCATCATCCCAAATTTTTGTCTCCTATTCTGGGAGAGAAAAGTCAAAAAATAGAGATTCACCGTGCTATTCCGTACATACGGAGTACACTCGCTAGTTGAGGGGTAAATCGGCTGCTGAAATGCCTAACATTTGGTTGAAGCCCCTTTTACTGAATATTAGTCATCCCAACATCACGTGCGCGGCATATTTTTGACCACTAGTGTTGGACAGTATGGACAGTTCGGCAAATCGCATCCAGAGTAACCTGGCTTGACGCAGAAGTTATTCTTGGTGTCGATGAGGTTGTTAAAAAAGAGGAGGTAAGGTATGTTGTGGGTGAAGCGATTAACAACCAGGCCCTCGAGGTTTTGGACCCGGCCCTGATCGAGATCCAATAGTCGGCTGGGCTACCGTCGATGTCAAACAGCTCAAACTTCCGTTCGATAAGACATTGTACCAAATCAGCGGTGGTAATGGCATTGATGTTTGATGTAGCTGCAGCGGTCCAAATGAGTTGATGACTCTCCAAGTCCTTTGAGATCCTTCAAGTTGGATATATTCATGTGGACCTTCTTTGTCTCGGGTATGAATGAGCTTTTATATAAGTATTCACCAGGTGTGTAGGCAATATCAGTGTGAAACATACTCCGTATTGTGGATTGAATCATTTGTCCCACTGGTTGTAGTTCGAGTGCCGAAACAGACTTACCGACGTGGCTACACCACGTCCATTCATTGTATCCGCTTCATCAGATCAGATTGCATAGCTCTCGAAGGGCCGATGGAGCTCGCTCCATTTGATTTCGATTCTTACCCTATGAAGAGTGGCCAGGTTCTAGGCTAGCGCGGTCTAGTCAAGAAATGGAACCGATATGTTGACGGGACGAGAAGGCGGAGTTATCACACAGATGGCATTAAGGCTCAAATAGCTGGCAACTATTCAGGACTGTTCCTACGCTATTGGGATGTGTATGTCCATCTACCCTATATGATATCCTGCTAAGACCTCGGTCCCTCTCGAATACAGACAAGCAGCACGTCTAGATCGGATAGTAACTTTGGAATGAATGCAGTCCGGACATAAATCACCTCGGTTCACCATAGCAGTATTCTAATCTCTTTCCTGCATTCACCTGGAAGAAAATATGATTTTTAAGGGAACTAAATTCACTACATGGAAGAAGAAGAAGAGGATGTGAAGGAGGTTTCCGACAGGTCTAAAGAAGCGATTCGATTTCCTCCTTCTTCTCCATCTTCATCATCCTCTCGATCTCCTCTTCCCACTCCGCGGCCTTCCTCCTCTTCATCTCCTTCATGTCTTGTATCTCCCTCTTCCACTCCATCTCCTTCATGTCTTTTATCACCTCCTTCCACTCCATCTCCATTCTCTCTATCTCCCCCTTCATCTCCTTCATCCTCTTTATCACCTCCATCCTCTTTATCTCCCCCTTGCTCTCCATCTTTGTCATCCTCTCTAGCTCCTCCCCCCACTCCTTCACCACTCTCTCCATCTTCTCCTTCATATCCTTCGTCTTTCTCATCGCCCTCATCCTCTTGATCCATTCCACGGTGTACTCATCCGGGTCCCAAGCGAAAATTATGTCCCTCTCTTTGACCTTCAGATCCACATATTCTTCCATGAGCTCTATCTCTTCTGGTTCTAAGAGATGGAGTCTCTTCCGCCATACATCGCAGATATTCTCGTATTCACATGTGCTTCCGAAGAATCGCTGATCGATCTTTTGCCAATATATCGTGTCGAAAGCAAAATTATTCCTTGCGGCGTACATGATCCAAAAGTCTCCGCTCTGCCAACTGTCACGCATACGACTAGATAGCCGCTGGCCTTCTAGTAGCCGTTTGTTTTGGATTGCCTCGTCTTCGGCTTTCCGCATTGCCTCAAGAAAGGTCTGAAGCGGTTTCTCATATTCCATGGACCACTCATCAAGGCCTTCAGGCCAATCTTCTGGCTTTTTGAGAAGAAGCCACCAAGGTGGCGCATGAGTAAATTCGGCTGGGGCGGTATACGTAAACTCCCAATCCACCACTCCGACGATGCTTTCAGGTTCATCAACTAGAACATTTTCTGGTCGAAAGTCGTCACACCAAACAGGAAATGGGCCATCATCATGTAATATCCATTGCTTTCTCTGCTCCTGATCTCGAGCAATTTTGCGGAAGAGAAACCTAGCCACGAATTTGCGCCGAAATTCATCCGCCAAGACATCCGTCGTGACGTCCTCTTCGATATCCGCTTCATTCCTTTGGCTTCTGAGGTGTGAAATGTGGAGCTCAGCGAGGGCTTCAAAGTACGACGACGCCTTATCGTACGTGGTGATCGGTAGCTTCGATCGGGGTAACGTCCCCAATTGCACAATTTCGTTCATAGAGTAAGACAGAGGCCGATGTAACACTTCCCACGTAGAATCGGCATTCTTGTAAAGGGATCCTATCCGGCCAAAAGAAAGTGTAGACAGCGAGAGAATGATGTTGGCTAGTTTTCCATATAGCGCTTCTAGTCTCATCGGATTGAGCTCCGGATTAAGTACTGGACGTTGTCCTGGTTGGCGTCCTGGCGTCTCAAGAAGATCACCCATACTTCCCTCGTGGGGGATATAGTTCATGATGATAAAAGGACCCAGTTCTGAGGGACTCTCCTTTGTCTTTGTCCAGCGAAAGATAGAAGGCACCGGGATTGGGATTTTGTCTGAAGTTTTTTCTGAGAGAAATTGCATGATGGAGACTTCATTCCGGACTTTTTCTTCAGGAAACATGATAGCGCCGGGCAGTGGGAATCGTATAATAGCGCCGGAATCATTGGTGAAATCCATCTTGAAGCAGGTGTTGAAACCGCCTGTGTTGAGGAAATCGAACAGGGCACATTCAAGATCGCTAAATTCTTCACAAAGAATGGCTCCAATGTCATTGTAGAAGTCCCCATCAGTGCGAAGAAGTTTTGGCCAGTCCTCCCAGATCTGGGAGCTTATTGCCCAGGCATAATCGTCGTAGGGCTTACATGCACTCATTTCAGAAAGACTGGATGAAGAGATAATTAGGGAAAACCGCAGATATGCCTAGTGATTTTTTGAATTCAATGAATTGTTGTTGGTGATTGATAGGGGAAACCGTACCGATGCCAAGTGACATGATCACATGATAACAATCACAAAAGTACTCTCCTTGGTCCTGTGCTTATATCGAGAACAATGCTTCATACGATGTTCATCCCCTCCCAGTGGTTCAAGGCGATGAGGGAACTGGCGTTAGTGACGGGTTTTGACTAAAAGGGAAGCTGAGACACACGATAGGGAAGGTACCACGTTTTATACGGCATTCTTGGAAGAATTAGAAATAAATATGCAATTGTTCTTGAGAATCCCGTCAAATCCCAATATAAAACACGCCCAACACCACTGGCAAGCTCCCATGCCTTACAAGATCGACAGATGCGCAGAATCGACAACCCATCCCATAACACATATCAGGTGTATCAACAGAACACATTAGAATCATAATAAGTCACAGATTAAACTCCGTTACGGTAGATTTGAGATCCACCAGAACGGATCTGGATGGTGTCACGTCGCTGCAAGACCACCAGTGCACGATTAAGTGCCTGTTCGGTATAGTTCTTGCCATCAACAAAGTCACGGCGCAAGGTAGCCAAGCTTGTGCTCCAACCAATGGGGAGGCGACGCTTCAGCTCGTCCTCAATCTTGCTGCTCTGCTCCATGAGTTCCTTGCTACCTTGGCCCTCACCCTGGGTAATGGCGTCCATAGTGGATGCCAGGAACAGACGGATAGCCTCGTCCACGTGGGCTTCCGTGGCGATGGGAGAGAGAGAAAGTTTGGCCAGGGACTCGGAAATACGCACAATGGCCTCAAGTTGACGGATGGTGATGGGGATCGATGATCGAGTGTTGGATTCAATCTCGGCGCGGTGGACTTGCTTTCGGATAGAGACGAAGTGGGACGAGAGCTTTTCGGCTGCTTCCGGGGAGAGACGGGGCGCACAACGACTAGATGGGATGTTAGTATGAATATAGCAGTTGGAATCAGTAATGAGTGTCAACTTGCCTGCGACAGTAGCTGATGTAGCGCTTCATCTGCTCGACGGGAACCTCGGCTTCCACCTGCTCCTCTAGACCACGACCACCCATGTGCACACCCATGACGTGGCGAGCAATCTTCTCATCCCGGCCACGCTCGTGTTCGTCACGGACGATGAAGATCATATCGAAACGGGACAAAATAGTGGTTTGGAAATCGATGTTCTCGCCAGGGGTCTTGAGATCATCGTATCGACCGAAGACAGGGTTAGCAGCGGCTAGTACGGACGTTCTGGAGTTAAGGATTGTGGTAATTCCGGCCTTGGCGATAGAGATGGTCTGTTGTTCCATAGCTTCGTGAATGGCGACTCGGTCTTCGTCACGCATCTTATCAAACTCATCAATACACACAACACCACCATCAGCAAGCACCATGGCACCACCTTCAAGGTAGAACTCGCGAGTGTTATGATCTCGCTGCACGGAGGCTGTCAAACCGGCGGCAGATGAACCTTTTCCAGAGGTATAGATGGCGATAGGAGCAGCCTTTTCAACGAACTTCAGAAGCTGAGACTTGGCAGTACCTGGATCACCCAGCATAAGCACGTTAATATCACCGCGAAGCTTCATTCCATCAGGAAGAATCTTCTTTGAGCCACCCATGAGCAGACACACGATAGCCTTCTTCATATCCACGTTTCCATAGATAGACGGGGCAATGCTTCGAGCAAGTGCATCGTACAAGTCAGGTCTCCGGCTGAGTTCCAAAAATTCTTGTTCTTCCTCCTCAGAGAAGACTGAGTTTCCCTTTGCTGTCTGGTCGAAGTCCGAGGTAATTCCCACTGCACGGAGATAGGGGTTGCGGATAGCCACGGCAGCCTCCTTCTTAACACCCTTCGCTTGGTAGATAGAGAAGATACCCATTACTGTGCAACGGGAGCCAGGAACCACTCGGTTGGCAAGGTAGCGATCGGCCGAAATAAGAACGTGTCGCGGCATCTCACCCACTGGCACCTGGTCGGGGGCTTCTTGAAGCTTGAGGACTTGCTGGTCCACGAATTGACATTTTTCGTGTTGAACGACGTAAGGGTCCAAGGGACATTGCTCGTTGGGCTGATCGTTGTCGTCCCTGGGTCGACCGCAGCGGCGCGGCAGCGTGAGGCCAGAGAAGCCACCATCGACCTGGATGTTCTCGCTGTAGTCGCAGCCTTTGCAACGAACGTGAATGATAGTTGATTTGGAAGATATTGTTGAAGCTCCAATGACAATTCCGGGGATGCGAACGAGGTGGGAGATGTTGGTGGCATTGAGATCACGGATTGAGATGTGCGATGCCGAGGAGTGTAAGAGCAGTTGGTGGGAGGGTAGTATGATATCTCGCTGCCCAGGGTAGACAATCCGTGCAGTACATTGCTTTAGAGCTAGCTCGAACTACTTCGAGTCAGCGAGGGCCAAGGTCGGCGGGATAAGAAACTTACAAGAGGAATGATATCGCCGGGCTCGGTGGTGAGTTTGTGGGCCAATTCTTCGTTGTAGGAAATCAGATGGGCAATGTCAATATCACAGTAAAATTGTTTGACAAGTGCATTTTGCCGTAATTGATCACTGTTGTATGATAAATTAGCTTACATTGGAACCTCAAGGAAGTGGGATGCGTACCGGTAGACGAATGCATTATCCAGTTGAAATTCTAGCACGAAATCCCGAAGGCGGTTTTGAATAGTGGTGCGATCTTCATCAGCACCATTTGTGCTGGGAGCAAGGACGCTCAAAGTATAGGGTGTGCGTCTATCCATGGTGTAGAGGACCGCAAATATTGCAAGTTGGGGGTTGATGATTTGGCGGAAGGGAGGCTTCAAGAACTTTTGGTTAGTGTGGAACCAACGCGACGCGTCGAGGGTTCACGCGTTAAGTGGTTTCTGAGTCAGCTGGTGCCTGAGGTTGGAGCTATCTGAGTCAGCACGGGGAACCGCGGGCCCGGCGTTAGCGCATTGACCGATTGGGGAGATTACCAGCTTGATGGAAACAAAGCCACATCAGTCATTCTGCACACAGGACCCAAGTGATCTCGCACCAAAATCGCGAATCGCAGAAGCTGACTTGATCAATATTGAACCTTGTACCTGAGCCTGCCAGCGCTCTATAGTCAGGAGTTTATCCACTGTCATGATCAGATAACACAGAACATCTCAACGATCGGCTGTCCGATCCGGCTGTGACAGCCATGTCGTCAACCAGTCCACGAAAATCAATTGATAGCTTGGCTTCTGGGGTCTCGTCGCCTTCGATTTCTTATTCAACAAGTCAGCTGGGATCACCACGTGTGGCCCCTCAGCGATTCCCCCTGAGGAGGGGATCAACCGCGAGCTCGATCGTGAGCATAGGAGGTGTCCTGGACTCTTCTCACTACCACGGCTCAATCTCAGAGTCTGTCGCAGAGTCTGGGCAGAATGGTTTGTGACCTTGGAAATCCTCAATTGCTCGATGATTGACGTGTTAACGCCCATGTAGCCATTTCGACACTCCTCCAGCCCCCGATCATCCGCACCGGTCTGACGACCGGTAGCGCCACATCCTCCGCCAGCTTCAGGCCTCCCTCCTCTCGTGATATCCCGCCTGTGACTCTGACCAACATTAAGCACGTGGATCCAAAGGTCTTCCAGCCATATCTATCGCAAGTGGGCACTTTGTACGATGTATTTCAACGACCGAAAGAAGGCGCGGGAGAGGATACACTACCGGCGCAGGCTGCTAAATCTCCCAGGCCAGATTCTGATCGCGATTCATTAATGCCATGGTCCCTCGAGCGGAGGTCTTCAGTCATCTCGACTACTTCAAGATCATCATCGCCTTATGATACTCGCGGCCGACGCCCCTCCACTGGCCGTGGACGCGCCCCCGCTGTGACCCCTCTCTCCACTATTCCTCCTGTTTATTTCGAAGAGGACTTCCATCTGGAGAATCCTCGTACGTTCGATGTGATATCAGAGAAATCAGATGTGGTTCGGCCGCCGAGACCGCCAACCAAAGACGACGAACAGGCCAATGGATTGGTTGCGGAGCCAGTACAAACCGGAAGAAAAGCACTGGCAACGAATGCTATTCTACAAGAAAAGCTTTCATGGTATATGGACACCGTGGAGATCCATCTTATTTCGTCTATCTCAACGGCCTCGAAATCCTTCTTCACTGCCCTAGGATCTCTCCGAGAATTGCACGCGGAAGCCGCCGACTCGGTCAACCGGATCCAAGTACTCAGAAGAGACCTGCAGAAAATCGATAAAGAAATGGCTCTTGGCGGTCTCAAAATTGTCAATTTGAGACGGCGAAGAGAAAATGTGCGAATGTTGGCAGCTGCTGTGGCTCAGCTTCGGGACGTGGTTGAATCTGTCTCTCGGTGCGAAGGATTGGTAGAGCAGGGTGACATTGAGGAAGCTGCCGATGGACTCGAGGAAGTCGAAAAGCTGATGGCCGGTGAAAAGCTCTCCGACCGCGCCACTTTAGAAGACAAGGAGGGTGCCCCCAGGCGCCTTATCGATCTGCGAGGTATCAAGGCCCTTGAGGGAGCATCTGACGACCTGGCACAGCTCCGCCAACGTATTGGCATGGGCTATGAGACCCGGTTCTTGAATGACCTTTTGGGAGATTTACGACAGCATGTTCAAACAGTGCCATCGAATGTGACATTGCAGCGCTGGGGAAACTTATTTCAACGGCAGCGAGGTGGTCAACGGTCTGGAGTATCGGTATCGCCTGCCTATATGGATTTCAATAGCGAGTTGCGATCACATTTGAACACCCAGCTCAACGGACTCGCACGTGCCCGCTATACGATGCCAGCAGCAACTTCTTTCAAAACCGCTGTTTTACGAGAAATGAAGGGCCTTATTCGCAAACACCTGCCCAGTTCTAGTGATGATGATAATGAATCTATGGTATCGCTATCAACACATGGCGGTCATCAGCTAAGCCAGCAGGAGAAATCATCAATTCTTGCTCGTAATCTGCGTGCTCTCGACTCGGATGATGCTTATACAATGTTGATTAATATCTACACCGGGATTAGCGAATCGCTTAGGCGACTCAGCGTCCAAGTCAAAGTCCTTCTAGATATCGCTAGCGGCTTGGGGAACTCGCCCACTTCCGGCGTCAAGTCACCACCACGAAGCCCCATCCCGCAGAGTATCGATCAAGCTATAAAATCACCACACATGGGACCGACAGCCTCGGACATGGCCCAGGATGAGATTCTACAGGTTTTGGATATGTCGAGTCTGCTTGGTCAGGCCGTTGACATCGCCCAATCCCAGATAATAAAGGTATTGAAGGTACGATCTGAACAGACCGCCCAGCTTTCCAAGGAGCAATTCCTCAGGTACTTCACTCTCAACCGCTTGTTCGCCGATGAATGTGAGGCCATCTCGGGACGCAGTGGTACTGCTCTAAAGACCATTGTCGGAAATCAAATCCGCGATTTCATTACCCGCTTCGGTGATGGTCAGCGCCATCAAATTGTCAATGTCATGGATGCCGATCGATGGGATGCACGCGATTTTGGAGATGCCGAGAACGTCATTCTTACTAGGATTCTCGATGCCAGCACCAAAGACATCGAGGCCTGGGTCGAAGTCTCCAAAATCTGGATTCCCCATCCTACAAATGAGCAAGGCAAAACTGTTGATACTGCCGCTGAGAATGGGACAGACAAGTCCAAGGTTCGCAGTGCCGTCATCGACGAGCAGAAATACATTCTACCTGACTCCGCTGTTGCCATGATGGGTAGCATTGAGGAGTTCGAGTTCCTCATGTCTAATATTCCCAGCATGATCCAGGATATTGCGCCGCATCTACTAGATATCTTGAAACTGTTCAATTCGCGGTCATCGCAGTTGATTCTTGGAGCCGGTGCTACGCGTAGTGCAGGCCTGAAGAACATCACAACTAAGCATCTCGCGTTGTCATCACAAGCGTTGAGCTTTGTTATTGCTTTAATCCCGTATGTACGGGAATTTGTCCGTCGGCATGGACAGACAAATCCATTAATGGCCGAGTTTGACAAAGTCAAACGACTATGCCAGGAGCATCAGAGCGGTATCCACGAGAAGCTGGTGGATATTATGAGCTCTCGGTCTTCGGTCCACGTGAACGCGATGAAGAAGATCGACTGGAATTCCAAGGGATCAGCTCCTGCTGTCAATCCTTACATGGAAACATTGGCCAAGGAGACGGGCACTCTACACCGCGTCTTGAGCAAGCATCTTCCAGACATGACAGTTAGCATGATCATGGTACCCGTATTCAACAGCTACCGTGATCAATGGACGAAGGCCTTCCAGGAGGCCGACGTGCATACGGAGACAGGAAAAAAGAGGTTAGTTTCAGTACTCGAATTCGGCTCATGGTTGATACTAACAACACACAGAATGCAAGCCGATGTCGAGCATTTCCGAACCAAACTGAGCAAAATCGAGGGCGCCAGCGAGGTTGGCGACAAGCTCCTCGAGGTTGTGCGAGCCAAGACCATTACCATTACCAACGAAGCCAATAAGTCCGAGAAGGCGAGTGAGAAGCTCCAAGATCGGGACGATCGCTCTGATTCTACGAAGTCCTAATTTCCATTCTCATTCCATATTTACTCTTACACATATAATTTTTTTCTGCATGTTCCTTTATTCCCTGCGCACGCATTACCGAGCCGTACACTTGTCATTTGCCGCTACCACATATCTGTCCACCACATTTATAGAGCTATCCCAGCGTTTGTAAATATGAATAAGAGCCGTGATTCTCATTCTAGTATATGTAGTATTACGCATTAGACGTGTGCCTTACTCCACTCTCCTTGCTAATAAGGAGAGAAGGAGGATAATACATTCATGCGGTCTCGTCCGAGGGCTATGAAATAATTTCTTATCCGAGACCTGGGGATACGAGGGTATTATGACATGCACGGACCTACGGGCTCTCAGTACTTCGACAAAAGAGTATTCACATTCACTACTCAAGATTCAAGGGCAACGGGATACAGACTTCCAGGAAATCAGTATCATTTTCGGTTCCTATATAGATCCTTTTCATGTTTCATCCTTGCCTAGGCGTAGGGACGGCGCTCGATCTCGATCACTGGACTCAATCGAGGCCCCCCGTGAACCTAGATTAATGCTACCTCACGCACTAGTGCTTACGTGGTACGTATCACATAGTGCTACCCAAGGCACTGTGCATCTCACGTTCTTAGGGACGATCGTAAGCTACATAACCAACCTACCTCCCCAGGTCTCAGGTGAAAAATATTTCTACACACAAACTTCATATTCACTCCCCCAGGTCCGATAGCCAAAATGGTGTACACACTTTACGAGGGCTTTGTTCTCCAGACCAAGCGAGCTTTAACCGCACTTTCGCATATTCTTCACAAAGCCGAGGAAGCGCCCAACGCTTCCAATCTTCCGTCCTGTCGACTCCATAATGACATGAAATCACTTAGCTACCAAGTGTTCGCGGCAACCATGCAAACACGGCTAGCTCTGGCTAAGCTGTCAGCCGAACCATTCCCAACGGATGACACGAGTCAGGACGTTGTCTACACATATGCGGAAATGTACGCTCGCATCGACAAGGCGCTCCAGGCCCTCGACACGGTTGACAAAGACTTCATCCTCGAACATTGCGAGACCGTCAGTCCCACGCCTCTGGGAGGTAATACACAACTCTTGTCTGGGATTGCATTCGCGTGCATTATGCAGGCTAATATCTTCTTTCATGTAACTACTGCCTATGGCATCTTGCGCAAGGA